TCTGATGATTTTGTGCAGAGTTATGGTCATTGGACTTAGAAAAATCACTCAAATAATCAGTTTTCCGCACTTTTTTTGTTATGCTTGAAGATATTGATTGGATAATTGGTATATAGTTTTATCATGACAAGTTACAGACCAAGTTTGAATTTTGTTTCGGTTTGATGATTTTTTGCAGAGTTATGGTCCTTGTACTTAGAAAATTCACTTAAATTATCAGTTTTCCGCACTTTTTTTCTTCATGCTTGAAGATATTGACTTGATATTTGTTATATAGTTTACACCATGACAAGTTATAGATCAAGTTAGCATTTTGTTCCAGTACAATTAATTTTTAACCGGTAGGGGACTATGTATTGCCATGCAATACTCTCAGAATGCTTGTTTCTATTGCGGTTCCCTTTCCTATTCATGCCGAATGAACCATCTAAGAAGTTTTAATTTGACTAAAACGAAACAGTTACACGTATTACCAAGTTATCCTGATGGAAACTTTGCGATGTTGTCTCTTTTGAAATGAAAATAACCCTTTATAATTTGAACGCGTCAGAAGCATTTTTCTGGATTTACTTTCACCAGGAACGCTCAAACCCAAGAATTTAAAGCCACGTAGAAACTTGTGGCATAGTAACATTAACATTTTAGCTGAATCAAAACTAGAATATAACGAGTTTTTTTTTTAGTTAAACGTGATAACCGGCTAACCAATCGGCAAGACTTCTATTACTAAGAATAAAACTAATGGGTTAAATGCTAATATCAAACTTTCGCAAGTACAAAGCTTTTGAGAGCAAACGAGGTTGTCTATGGTAACACTGCAGCGGAGGTTGAAAAATTTGATATAGTCCTGGTTCACATACATTTAACATAATTTTCTATAAAGAGATCATGCTGATAGTATTGACTGTTAACAGTATTTATATACTCACAACGCAATAGAAAAAACGAAAACGACCAACAGGCAAACAACAGTATACACAACATAACATAAAAAACTAATGACTAATGTCAACTACATTTAGTGACTCTTTTACCAAAGTTATCGCTGACATAGATTCATACAGTCAATAAAGAAGAAAGGTTCGCTGAATTTAATGTTTTTAAGCAAAATATGTCACTTGGAACAGTTGCAGTATAAAGAAAACCAATCTGTGTCTATTCTCTCTCTATATATATATTATATTGTCTTGAAATTTGAATTTTATTTATACACGGCTCAAAACAGGATAGAAATAATCCGAAAAGCCTTGCATTCCATCTGTACCATGTACAAATTAATTTATATTTTGAGGAAATGTTTGGTTTTTCTTTATGTAAACGTGTTAAACTAGGGATAAATTAATAATTCTAGCCTCAAGTTTACCTGCTGTAAGAATACTGTTCCAGTAAATCAAAAATATGTCGTCAATTATCAATAGAAATGTTAATCATAATTCAATGTGTTAAATTAGTTTTTGTTTCTGTCTTTAATTAGGCGTTGTGGGCAAATGAAAGGATTTTTCTTTCTTTTTTTAAGAATCATATGTTGGCGGCAACGTAAAACATGATAAGTAACGATTAAGATACAAAGATATAAAAATCTTTGCTTAAAAGCTCTTTAGAGATTAGCCATTATACAATAATTCAAATTTTATAGATAACTTTATATCTAATATTCGATTCCAGTCACCTTCTTAACACAAATCGCTTTGTTTTTCCTTTTTCTTATTAATCAAATCATATCGTTTACGATGTAAAGCACTTTCGGTTGTATCCTATAATTGCATGAACTTTATATTGTATTTTATTAAATTAACTGATGCCTGGTTTGACACAAAATATGATATGATTCAGAAACTTGGAATTTTGTACGCTACAGCGATATATGTTGTTATTTGCATTTATATCTTGAGAAATTTTATGCGAAAAGCATTCAAGAATTACAATTTCTTATCATTTAAGCAATTTCTAAAAAAAAGGGACTTGAAGATAAAAAGAAAGGAATGAACATCTTTAATATGAATTTTGGTTTAATTAGATAAAGTGTGGTTCCAACTCATTCCATTATCTAATTAATTAGATATACTCTAGGTTTTTTTTTAGCAAAAGCTATGTGAAAAAAATAGTCATGAAAGCTTTCCAGAGATCTCTTGTAAAATGTCAGTATCATAAATAATACTTTTTATAATATAAAGTCATCATAAATATTTTTTTATACTTTTATGAAGAATTAACAAGCTACTTGTTACGTCAGTTTTCACGGATATAAATTTTATTTTAATAAAAAAAAAAGTTATATCTCGAACTGTACGGCTTGATAACTAGATAAAGTTTTAAAGAGTCTACATTTTATTTATGATGATTTTAATGATAATATAAAAAGTTGTGAAATATTTAAATAAAAAACCGTCGCTTCCTGACTTTGATTTTTCTCTACAACTAACAACTATATATTGTACGTTTATCCGATATTCCTATTATTCAGGGAAACAAATCAGATAAAACCGATAATTGACTAAACCCAATTTTGATTGTTGATAAATGTAGAATTCACAACTTGCCTGCAATGACATTGTGTGCTGACCAGGAAAATATGTATGTTATACATACCCCATTTCTCATGCCTATCTCTGACGGAGTCTATTAATAACCATGTCATACAGAAAATAACCAATACGTTCCTTTATTACAATGGAGAGACAATCAAACAAGATCTACATCATCTTAATTTGTTTCTTGGTTATGACAATAACTTGTTTGAAATTACTACCTCTTATGTCTTTAAATCAGATTAAGTCAGTGAAAGGAGAGTTTTTATATGACTGCAATAAAAGAAAGTCGATACAGTTTTGTATAAGGAATGTCGTTAATATTTTTCTTACTCTTTTCCGATATAGTTTAACTTAAATTATGTAAATATTTAAACTGAGGGTTACACTTACACATTATATTCAAATTAAACCGTGCTTAAAACATGACAAATTGATTTTTACTTGCTTAACATTCAGGAGTGCCAGTATATCATGCATATTCAGGGCGAGAATAGTTAACCAATTGTAGGATCTTGGAGTGGGCATAGTGAAAATTTTAAAACGACAGGAAAAACGGGAGTATTGACTATGGTCAACTAATAAAAGTAAAACAAATGATTCAAGGGACACAGGGCATAGCATTATCACAGCGTTTGATTTTAGATTTGATCTAAGAGTACCAAACAATACTAAACAGTTCAAGCAAGAGCGTTTATCCCTGTGCTGATTATCACGGTGCTGAAATATGATAGTCAGTGAGACAACTATTCATGAAGACAACAAGACATGTTTTTGAACAACTACAGGTCACCGTAAGGCCTTCAATAATGACTTAAACCCATGTCGTATGGTAAGCTATAAAAGACCCCGGGATTACAAAATGTAAAACATTTCAAAACTGAAAACTCACGGATGAATATGAATATGAATCAAATGTGGTGTAGGGTATACTCTAAAGAACAACTGCCGACATTATAGTGTATATAGTTCAGCAGTCAATATCAGCAGGATAATAACTTTGAGCATACTAACAATAACTGCGAGCATTGAAACGGTATTCATATGGATGTGTTTTTATACATCTTGAACAGCTAACTAATGACCACAATACTTGTTCACTGCTGGACATCCATGCAAGTGGTCACTTTTCTAGGCCGCTTATTTACTGTTCGACATCTTTGTCATCGAGTATGATATAGTTTTTTCAACAAGCACAAATATGTTACACTATACAAACCTCCCCAAACGTTAACAAGTATACAAGCATTCAAATAGTTTATTTGATGCAACTGCGTATTTGATTAGGTCATTTAGTCGGAGACGTTTTTGTGATTCATATTAATATGGGCCCTATAATTTAGAATAAAAGATATTTGTATTTAGTTATTTTCGAGTTCTTTGAATATCTTTTCCTTTTTTTTTCGAACTTATCAGCACTTTTTATTTACCATGTAAATATGTTTAAAACTTTATTACAATATGATACACGGAGATCGAGTTTGAATTTCGTCTTTTGTTGAAATTAGATGAACGGGACTTCAGGATAATGTCTTGATTTAGACAAGGGTTAAGTATCTACTTTAAAGCTTAACCCCTTTCGCGAGAATCTGTTTGTTGGTGAATCAATACGAATATATATTCACCATAATACAACTAAAATTGTTCAATATGCAGTTTAAAATTCTTGACAGTATGCCTTTCAATAATTAAATGGTGAGATATGTTAAGAGTCTTTTAGGTCCCTGGAAATTCTTTTGTGCTTAAATAAATATCTAAACTTTTATTGAAAAATTAATATAATGATATAGTCTGGAATGCCTATTGAATTACTTTTTTCAGACTAATATAACCGATTTTAGTACGGATAAAGAGTTTAAAAGACGCTTGGTAGTGTATCAAAATACTGTAACAAACATTTGTGCCATTTCCGCATTATTTTTTTTTTAAAGTTGTACAAAGTAAAAAGACTATTTAGTACCATTTGTTGTAACCAAGTATTGTATTGCCCTAATACAATCCATGCGCAAAATAACTTGATTAAAGATTAAACGAAATCTTTCGTTCATTTTTCAAATTGAACAAAATAAAAGCAATTTTTGTCGTATTTAAATTCACTACTTAAAACATTTTTTACAGATTAATACCTTAGCATAATTAATAACAATATTTTTAGTTCGTCTATTTATCACTCAAATGTGCTCATTTTCAAAACAGGTGAACATTACCTCATATCTCACATTATAACATGGAAAATGCATGTTTACAAGACACGTTTTTTGAAATAAGAAAATACGCTTCACAAAGATACTAAAATAAATACAAACAGATGAATATCATTTTTAGTATCAGTTAGTCGCAGTGATTGATGTAGTCAAATATCTCTAACAGATAATTTGGTGAAAACAAATAGTTGAAACTTTTCATCTGAAAAACTTCAAACTTTCTTCTATCATGTTTAAGAGTGGTATGATTGGCAGAAATTGTGTTTACTTATGTTAACGAATCACTTGTTGGCGGATCATAATTGTCTACAAAATTGTGTTGTGGCTTGTTAGTAAAGACAATTATTATATGCAGCATGTCGCAGTATAGACGGCGTGTGGTCAGAAACTGTATACAGTTATAATTGCCTTTCTATAATATTGATTTAATAATAATTTCAACGGGTACAAATGTACAGTTCAGTATGTGGAGAAATTATGTTTTACTCTCTTTTCGGATTGAAGAAATTCCACAAATTACAAAAATTAAATGGATTTTAGAATGGTTTGTTGTTTTACAAGGTGAGTTCCTTGCATAACTTATTTTGATTAAACATTTCAATTGTTTTAATGCATTCTCAAACAGTATTTGGTTGAAAGTTGGTTAATACTATACTGATTAAGATTTTAAAAAGGAATATCCTTGGCCCATTTATTTTCATTGATATAATTCTGTAAGGCGATAAATATATATATATGGATGAAAGCCGCTAGACAACTGACAATGTTTTAACTCACTTTCTATTGTTTATATATATATATGTTTATCCAAAAAAGAGTACAGAGTATTGGTTCATTCCCGATTCAGAATGATTTGGCTGCATCAATTTTAGGACTTTTATCCTTTTTTTAATATTACATAAATTTCTCTTACACATTATTATTTAGTTTTCATGAAATCTACATAATTAAATTGAATCTCTCAAAATCTTCAGACTTCGTTCGTTTCTTTGTGTACTATGCTAATGATGATATATTTATCAGCATTTACTTTTCTGTATATAAATTATGTAATTGAATAAAATCTAAGATTCTAAATTAAACGACTATGATTCAAGCTGTTTTAGTCGGTCCTTTTTATGCTCCAAATGTTTGTTAAGAATGCCGCTCAAACCTTTTGTTTTTGAGTTATCTGATGAATTTATTCCAAAAGTAAGCCTTTTCTGTACCAAGTCTGTTCAATTACAGGCTTGACAAATATAATTTAGATTTATTTTTATATGTTAATCTTAACATATCTTTTTCTCATTTTACTATGAACTTTCAACAATTCTGGTGATAAACCAGCGTTTTATCATTGGAAAAATGTGTATTACCATGTGATCAAACAGGAATTTCTGTTTTGTTTACATTTTCTGATGAACTGGTTTTTTCTAACGACCTTAATAACGAGAGAATGGCCATCAACTTGTGGTCTGGAATTTACTTTTTAGGAGTAAACATGTCCAAAATGCCAACAGAATCGTCTTTGTAGCCTATTATCAAGTTATTGAGAAATAGACTGATGAAAGAATATTTATTTATCTGTCGAAGAGGACAGTATGTGTTTCAACAAATTTGTTTTATTGCTTCCTCTGCCTGATACAACTGACAGTTTTCAAATCATGAATGTCACTAATGTTACACTGTTTTATTTAAGATTTTCAGGTACTTTGAAGCCTTGCTGAAATGGTAAAATAAACCTAAGTTGTGTCCTAACAATTCATTTATACAAAAAAACACTGCGTTAATCCGTCCCTTATCATATTGTTCAACTTGTTAAATTTAACGAGTCGTTTAAAATTGTCAAAGAGTCGTTATATCTAATCGACCTCATTGAGGTTGATTAAATTTTAATCAGCTGGTCTTAAAAACATTTAATTTACTTTTAATTGCATTTCAAAACTTAAACCAATGGTCAATGATTTCTGTTCTTCGCGAGTTAATGTGCAACGGCTTCTGAAGCTAGTGATTCCAGAATTTAAAACAAATATATTTTAGTGAAACTGATTATGTTTTTTCTTTTTCTTTTACTATCTTTAAAGAAGTTTCTATGAACCAAATCTGAAATGTTAGTCTTACTTTAAAGTTTCACGAAACGCTATGGCATGATTAATTTCTTTCACGAAATATTTCTGATCGGGTGAGACACGAAGTCGTCGTTTGTTACAAAAAAATGCTGTCAAGTTGACTTCTTCATGTACTTATGTTTTTTGTCGAGCATTGTTTGAAGGTAAAAGATGTATGGGGGAAAGAGAAGTACAGTAACTATAGCACTATGTCTTGAAAGATATCTTTTTTTATTGCGACCCCCTGAGTGGAGGAGAAATTTTACTCGATTGCGTATTTCCTCACATAGACTTAGACTTGAACAAGGTAGATATCATGGTGTTTCTCGACAAAACAGAATATGTCTCAGGTGCACCTCAAATGAAATTGATGATGAAAAACATTTTTCATTTTCATGTACATCATCTTTAACTAGAAGACACTGCATGTACTCCATGATCAACTTACTGTGTCCTAACTTTAAGCACTTGGAGTCGGTTTCACTAAAAAACTTACGATTAAGCTTGATCGTAAGTCATGAATAATTCAGTATACTTACGATAAATCTTAGTCGTAAGTTTTTTTGTGAAACCGACTCCTGGATTCCTAGCCAAAAACTAATCTGGCTACTTAATGTAGAGAATGTTGATATAGTAATATCTTTTTGTGATCTGATTGATGAAGGCAAAATATAGATCTAGCTTATCTGCTTCAGGCACGAGGATGGCATGGTGGTTACCTAGACTCACCTATAATAATAATAATGTACCTTCTTGTATTTATTTTATCATTGACAATCAGAATTATTCCCAAATACATTATATTTAAGTTTTTTTCTATTTCGTACTATGAAAACTTTGGCATGTCATTTAGCATCGTCCCTTGGTGCCTCTTGCAGTCGGGTCATCTTACAATATGTATCAACCCCTTCTGCATCAGGCACGAGGATGACAAACCAGGTTTGTGCATCTGCTCATAATATCATAACCAAATTATCTATTTTACATTCATGTAAACCTTGTTAGTCTATCTCCCACCTTGCCATGCAGCACGGTCCCTTGGAGGCTTTTGCAGTTAAGTTAGATATACAATACATTGCCAATTTATTTTAGGAACTTTTTCATGTTGGGGTGTACCTGAGAAGGAGAGAAACATTGTTGAACGTATATTTATATATATTTATATATGTGTGTAGTTCATGATGTTCAAACTGACTTTTCTTTTCTTTGTATGTATCCCTACCGACGAAGTCGAAGGGGACTTTAGGTTTGCATTCCGTCTGTCTGTCTGTCTGTCCGGAAGTCTGGCAAATCAGTTTTCCACACTTTTTTCTTCGTGCTTTAAGATATTGATTTGATATTTGGTATATTGTTTTATCATGACAAGTTACAGATCAAGTTCAAATTTTGTTCCGGTCTGATAATTTTGTGCAGAGTAATGGTCCTTGGACTTAGAAAATTCACTCAAATATTCAGTTTTCTGCAGTTTTTTTCCTCGTGCTTGAAGATATTGATTTAATAATTGGTACATTATTTTATCATGACAAATTACAGATTGAGTTCGAATTTTGTTCAGGTCTGATGATTTTGTGCAGAATTATGGTCCTTGGACTTAGAAAAATTCACTCAAATAATCAGTTTTGCACACTTTTTTTCGTCATACTTGAAGATATTGATTTGATAATTGGTATATAGTTTTATCATGAAAAATTACAGACCAAGTTCGAATTTTGTTCTGATGATTTTGTGTGCAGAGTTATGGTCCTTGGACTTAGAAAATTCACTTAAATAATCAGTTTTCCACATTTTTTATCATCATGCTTGAAGCTATTGACTTGATATTTGTTATATAGTTTACACCATGACAAGTTATAGATCAAGTTAGCATATTGTTCCAGCACAATTAATTTTTAACCGGTAGGGGACTATGTATTGCCATGCAATACTCTCAGAATGCTTCTTGTTATTGTCTCATTAATGTCTTATATTGTACTATGCTCCTTGTGAGCCCATTTAATGGAAATAAAACATCTTCTTCTTACAGTATGACTGGGTACATACACACAATATGATAGGTTAAACTAGTTTTACCTGCACACAACCTTATTTTTATACGACCGCAAAAAAAAATTGCGGTCGTATATTGGTATGACGTTGGCGTCGTCGTCGTCGTCGTCGACCGAAGACACATTGGTTTTCGCACTCTAACTTTAGTTTAAGTGGATGGATCTCTATGAAATTTTACCATAAGGTTCAATACCACAAAAGGAAGGTTGGGATTGATTTTGGGGGTTATGGTACCAACAGTTAAGGAATTAGGGGCCAAAAAGGGGCCAAAAATAAGCATGTTTGTAACTTCCAGACATAACTTGTGTGTTAGTGTATGGATCTCTCTGACATTGTACCACAAGTTTCCATATCACAAAGGGAATGCTGGGATTGATTTTGGGGGTAATTGCCTCAAAAGTTTAGGAATTTGGTGCCAAAAAAGGGGCAAAAAACAAGCAGTTTTCTAGTTTCATGACAACAACTTGTGTGTAAGTGTATGGAATCTTTCTGAAATTGTACTACAAGGTTCCATATCACATAGGGAAAGCTGGAATTGAGTTTGGGGGTAATTGCCCAAAATTTTTAGGAATAAGGGGCCAAAAATAAGCATTTTTCTAGTTTCCAGACAATAACTTGTGTTCAAGTGTATGGATCTCTCTGAATTGTACTGCAAGGTACCATACTACAAAGGGAAGGCTGGGATTGCGTTTGGGGTTGATGAATCATAAGGGGGCTCAAAAAATTTGGGGGAGGGATTTTTTTTTCCTGTTTTTCCTTTTTTTTTCTTTAAAATTTTCCATTTTGAATTGGTTATTTCTGGTTTATATATAAAAGCAAATAATAATGATATGGTTTGAATAGGTAAATTAGAAATTTTTAAGTTCTTAGACCACATTCATTCTGTGTCAGAAACCTATGCTGTGTCAAATATTTAATCACAATCCAAATTCAGTGCTGTATCAAGCTTGAATGTTGTGTCCATACTTGCCCCAACTGTTCAGGGTTCGACCTCTGCGGGTCGTATCAAGCTGCGCACAACGGAGCATTTTATTAACTAAATATGTTCCATTGTTCCTATATCCATATTCGATTCTAAAGAATGTGATTGCAACGACTGCTGTTGATGATTAAACTAAAGCTCTTGAGATGGTTTTTATACGACCGCAAATAAATTTTGCGGTCGTATATTGGTATGACGTTGGCGTCGTCGTCGTCGTCGTCGTCGTCGTTGTCGTTGTCGTCGTCGTCCGGTGTCGTCGTCGTCGTCCGAAGACACATTGGTTTTCGCACTCTAACTTTAGTTTAAGTGAATGGATCTCTATGAAATTTTACCATAAGGTTCAATACCACAAAAGGAAGGTTGGGATTGATTTTTGGGGTTATGGTATCAACAGTTAAGGAATTAGGGGCCACAAATAAGCATTTTTGTAACTTCCAGACATAACTTGTGTGTTAGTCTATGGATCTCTCTGACATTGTACCACAAGGTTCCATATTACAAAGGGAATGCTGGGATTGATTTTGGGGGTAATTGCCTCAAAATTTTAGGAATTAGGGGCCAAAAAAGGGGCCAAAAATAAGCATTTTTCTAGTTTCATGACAATAACTTGTGTGTAAGTGTATGGATCTTTCTGAAATTGTACTACAAGGTTCCAGATCACAAAGGGAAAGCTGGAATTGAGTTTGGGGGTAATTGCCCAAAAAGTTTAGGAATAAGGGGCCAAAAATAAGCATTTTTCTAGTTTCCAGACAATAACTTGTGTTCAAGTGTATGGATCTCTCTGAAATTGTACTGCAAGGTTCCATACCCGAAAGGGAAGGCTTGGATTGATTTTGGGGGTAATTGCCTCAAAATTTTAGGAATTAGGGGCCAAAAAGGGGCAAAAAATATGCATTTTTCTAACTTCAGGACAATAACTTGTGTGTAAGTGTATGGATCTTTATGAAATTGTACTACAAGGTTCCATATCACAAAGGGAAAGCTGGGTTTGAGTTTGGGGGTAATTGCCCTAAACGTTAAGGAATTTGGGGCCAAAAAGGGGCCTAAAAACAAGCATTTTTCTAGTTTCCAGACAATAACTTGTGTTCAAGTGTATGGATCTCTCTGAAATTGTACTGCAAGGTACCATACCACAAAGGGAAGGCTAGGATTGAGTTTGGGAGTGATGAATCATAAGGGGGTTCAAAAAATTTGGGGGATGGACTTTTTTTCCTTTTTTTTCCTTTTTTTTTCTTTAAAATTTTCAATTTTAAATTGGTTATTTCTGATTTATATATAAAAGCAAATAATAATGATATGGTTTGAATAGGTAAATTAAAATTTTTTTAAGTTCTTAGACCACATTCATTCTGTGTCAGAAACCTATGCTGTGTCAAATATTTAATCACAATCCAAATTCAGTGCTGTATCAAGCTTGAATGTTGTGTCCATACTTGCCCCAACTGTTCAGGGTTCGACCTCTGCCATCGTATCAAGCTGCGCCCAGCGGAGCATTTTATTCATTAATGCCTTGGTCGAAGAAAACTTAGTTCACCGACATTAAACTCTATTCTAAAACCTGTATGAGTGTGTATTGCTCGCGCAGCCTCGATGGGAGATACTAATTTGAATGCTTAATTAACCCCTTGTTATTTCCATAATAGTTTGAAACTTGAAAAATTTTTGTCATTTGTTTCATAGAGTCCTTCTCAATGCTATTTAATGCCTAACAGCGAACTGTCGTTTAATGTGCTGCTTTTTAGTAGTTGTGCAAATTGATGGTTGTTTTAAAGCTTTGATAGCTTATCAAACGTATGTGGAAATTGTCTTATACAAAAACATTCTCACCAAGATACCTTTAATTAGGGCCCCGCCGAATGGCGGCCGGCCTATAGTGAGTAGTCTGTCCGTCCATCTGTCCGTCTGTCCGTCCGTCCGTCCGTCCGTCTGTCCGTCCGTCCGTCCGTCCGTCCGTCTGTCCGTCCGTCCGTCTATCCGTCCGTAACAAATCGTGTCCGCTCTATATCTAGAGAACCGTTATGATTTCGAAGTTTATACTTGACATGTATATTAACCAACACCAGAGGGTGTTTCATAATGTATGTTCAACTTCCTAGGTCAAAGGTTAAGGTCAAAAACTTTGGTTTTAGTTAACAACCCCATGTCCTTTGGTAAAGATCGTGTCCGCTCTATATCTTGAGAACCGTGATGATTTCAAAGTTTATACTTGATATGTATATTAACCAACACCAGAGGGTGTGTCATAATGTATGTACAACTTCCTAGGTCAAAGGTCAAGGTCAAAAACTTTGGTTTTAGTTGACAGCCCCATGTCCTATGGTAAAGATCGTGTCCGCTCTATATCTTGAGAACCGTTATGATTTCCAAGTTTATACTTGATATGTATATAAACCAACACCAGAGGGTGTGTCATAATTTATGTACAACTTCCTAGGTCAAAGGTCAAGGTCAAAAACTTTGGTTTCATTTGACAACCCCATGTCCAATGATAAAGATACAAATTTTTTACCACACATTATTCACAGCGGGGCCCACAGAGGAGGCTCCCATCTCAATGATATCTAGTTGGTTACTCTCATTCATAGCCTTGTCTTTATGTTATATCTATTTAATGACCAAATAGAAATCTGTTTTTTTTACCAAAAGACAAATCAAAAATATATTATCTACAGATACCTCAACTTGGACCTTTCGTTTCGTGTTGAAACGCATTTCTTTAGATAGCATAGCAAACATTCCTGTTAAAATCGTCTAATTAGCTTAATTGCCTCTGTAGGATTTGTAGATAAAAGTGCCCCGATTGCTTTTTACGAGAGTGATTTTATGCTGAGAGCTTATTATGCTTCTTAGTAGGTACTGATGTAAACATTTAGATATATACTTGTTCTAATATTGTTTTAAGATTTATACAAGATAAATTCTTCGTCGATATCTTTATTTAACTACATGCTCTGCTAAACTTGATCGGGAATCCATCAGGAACTACGACAGTGTGACGGTAAATGGAAATTTGATTGTTTTCTTGTTTTGGTTAATGTTTTTAAAAAAATATGTCAGTGTTTGAATATCTATATCAAAGATCTATAGAATGGTATACTTACGTTTTCATTGAAGCAATACATGTTATTGGAGAGGCTACAGATGCTGATATCTCGAAGGTACATTGTTTTCTGTTGGCGTTTCCTACTATAATAAAACTGATAGTTTGAGGTTAATAAGTAGAAAGTACATTTTAAAACGAAACAGCCAGGCGGTTATTATTAGTCTGACATCATACTTGATATAACATCTACATGTTTATTTTCAGTCCTACCATTTTGTATTGGAACGTTATGTCCTAGTAATGTTCAAAGAGAAGCATTCTCATGTTTTGCTGGATATAGTACACAATTGTTGAATATGCAAAAAAGTTCCGAAACATTATTTACTGGTGTAGATGTAGAACTTCTAAGAGCCTTTTGCAGGTAAGCCCCGTTTCCTGATTTAGATGAATACAGCTTAATTACTACAACTATATACAGACAAATGGTTACACATAAACAATTACACTCTTTAGAAATATTTGCCACTTTTCAAATGTAATTATTTTCTCACCTACAAAAGTGATTAACAGGACAGAAGACGTTTCAGTTTTAGGAGTTTGCGGGACAAACATTAATCTTTCCCAATGTGCCTTCGTTTGTTATTTCCAGTAATTTTTCAGAACCTATTTAAGTGTCTGAATGCATATATGATAAGGGATGTGAGATATAAAAACTGTAGTATAAGTAGATTTATAGTGCGCATAGCAAGATCCAAATTAGTAAGATATATGATCGTCTGAAATACGATGGACAGACATACGATATAGCAAACTATGCTACATGTATTAACACTAATAATGATTGATTGATTGTTAGATTGCTTAATGTCCAGTGGCAAATATTCCATGCATGTTCAGAACGAGAACAAATTAACAATAGATACAATTGGTAGTTCCTGTAATAGAGGCCGTCCGGGATGAAGATCGGGGAAATTTTGCCTTGCAATAGGCCCCATCAAAGAGTTGTTGCAAGAGTTCTTACCGTACAGAGAGCGTGTCACTCTCTTTACAAGAGGCATCGGATTTAACGTCTTCATTCTCGTCGGACGTGGCTGCATACTTGTACATCCCGCACAGCCAAACGGACGCCCCACTTTGGCAAGGGTTTAACTGCCAGTCGGAAGAAGACCAAAGTGACTATATTACTATTCCCAAGTCACCCTTGGGAGCAACACTAATAATGCAATACTTAGTAGTCCAAATGTGAAAGTCAAATGAATACGATAGACCTTTCTCGTGTGTATGAATATTCAAAAATTGTAACATGGATTGAAGTTAATGAATTAACAATCCCATTTTTATGCCCCCGCCGTAGCGGAGGGGGGCATTAAGTTTTACCCTTGTCCGTCTGTACGTCCAAAAATTCGTTTCCGTTCTCTAACTTTAGTTTACCTCAACCAAATGTTATGAAACTTATACACAATGATTATTACCACAAAACACAGATCAAGTTTGAATTTTGGTGGCGTCACTTTTACCGTTCTAGAATTATGCCTCTTCAGAAATGGAAAAATTGCTAAATTTTTCGTTTCCGTTCTCTTTCTTTAGTTTGCCTCCACCAAATAATATGAAACTTATACAAAATGCTTATTTCCACAAAACACAGATCCAGTTTGAATTTTAGTGGCGTCACTTTTACCGTTATAGAGTCATGCTCCTTTACAAATGGAAAAAATGCTGAATTTTTGTTTCCGTTCTCTGACTTTAGTTTGCCTCCACCAAATGATATGAAATTTATACACAATGCTTATTACCACAAAACATAGATCAAGTTTGAATTTTAGTGGCGTCACTTTTACCGTTCTAGAGTTATGCCCCTTCAGAAATGGAAAAATTGCTGAATTTTTCTTTTCTGTTCTCTAACTTTAGATTGCCTCAACCAAATTTTATGTAACTTATATACAATGCTTATTACCACAAAACACAGATCAAGTGTGAATTTTGGTGGCGTCACTTTTACCGTTCTAGAGTTATGCCCCATCAGAAATGGAAAAATTGCTGAATTTTTCGTTTCCTTTCTCTTACTTTAGTTTGCCTCAACCAAATGTTATGTAACTTATACATTGTACACAATGCTTATTACCACAAAACACAGATCAAGTTTTTGAATTTTGGTGGCGTCACTTTTACCGTTTTAGAGTTATGCTCCTTTACAAATGGAAAAAATGCTGAATTTTTGTTTCCGTTCTCTGACTTTAGTTTGCCTCAACCAAATTTTATGTAACTTATATACAATGCTTATTACCACAAAACACAGATCAAGTGTGAATTTTGGTGGCGTCACTTTTACCGTTCTAGAGTTATGCCCCATCAGAAATGAAAAAATTGCTGAATTTTTCGTTTCCTTTCTCTTACTTTAGTTTGCCTCAGCCAAATGTTATGTAACTTATACACAATGCTTATTACCACAAAAACACAGATCAAGTTTTTATACGACCGCAAAAATTGAAAATTTTTTGGTCGTATATTGGTATGACGTTGGCGTCGTCGTCGTCGTCGTCGTCGTCGTTGTCGTCGTCGTCTGGCGTCGTCCGGCGTCGTCCGAAGACACATTGGTTTTCGCACTCTAACTTTAGTTTAAGTGAATGGATCTCCATGAAATTTTACCATAAGGTTCAATACCACGAAAGGAAGGTTGGGATTGATTTTGGGGGTTATGGTACCAACAGTTAAGGAATAAGGGGCCAAAAAGGGGCCAAAAATAAGCATTTTTGTAACTTCCAGACAATAACTTGTGTGTAAGTGTATGGATCTCTCTGACATTGTACCACAAGGTTCCATATCACAAAGGGAAGGCTGTAATTGATTTTGGGGGTAATTGCCTCAAAATTTTAGGAATTAGGGGCCAAAAAAGGGGCAAAAAACAAGCATTTTTCTAGTTTCATGACAATAACTTGTGTGTAAGTGTTTGGATATTTCTGAAATTGTACTACAAGGTTCCATATCACAAAGGGAAAGCTGGAATTGAGTTTGGGGGTAATTGCCCGAAACGTTTAGGAATTGGGGGCCAAAAAGGGGCCAAAAATAAGCATTTTTCTAGTTTCCAGACAATAACTTGTGTTCAAGTGTATGGATCTCTCTGAAATTGTACTGCAAGGTACCATACCACAAAGGGAAGGCTGGGATTGAGTTTGGGGGTGATGAATCATAAGGGGGTTCAAAAAATTAGGGGGGGGGGGATTTTTTTTTTTTCTTTTTTTTTCTTTTTTTCCTTTTTTTTTTCTTTTAAAATTTTCCATTTTAAGTTGGTTATTTCTGATTAATATTTAAAAGAAAATAATAATGATATGGTAGGAGATACACACCAAACAGGATGTGTAAATTATTATATAATAAGTATTGTGCAATAGCAAGAAATTTTCAATTGCACAGTATTGCACAATTGCAAGAAATCTTCAATTGCACAGTATTGCGCAATAGCAAGAAATCTTCAATTGCACAGTATTGCGCAATAGCAAGAAATATCCAATAGCACAATATTGCGCAATAGCAAGAAATTGTCAATTGTACAGTATTGCACAATAGCAAGAAATATTCAATTGCACAGTATTGTGCAAAAGAAGATACTTCGTATAAATTGCTTATTTCTTGATCAATTTCAATGGGGTTTTATTCTTGAATTCTTGGGGTTCTTTAATATGCTGAATCTAACCGTGTATTAAGTTTTTGGATTTTGGGCCCCGTTTTTAAATTGGTCCACATTGAGGGTCCAAAGGGTCCAAAATTTAACTTTGTTTGATTTCATCAAAAATTGAATTATTGGGGTTCTTTGATATGCCGAATCTAACCGTGTATTTAGATTCTTAATTTTTGGTTCCGTTTTCAAATTGGTCTACATTAAGATCAAAAGGGTCCAAAATTAAACTTAGTTTGATTTTAACAAAAATTGAATTTTTAGGGTTCTTTGATATGCTGAATCTAAACATGTATTTAGATTTTTGATTATGGGCCCAGTTTTCAAGTTGGTCCAAATCGGGGTCCAAAATTAAACTTTGTTTGATTTCAACAAAAATTGAATATATGGGGTTCTTTGATATGCTGAATATAACCATGTATTTAGATTTTTGATTTTTGGGCCCCGTTATCAACTTTGTCCACATTGAGGTCAAAAGGGTCCAAAATTAAACTTTGTTTGATTTCATCAAAAATTGAATTCTTGGGGTTCTTTGATATGCTGAATCTAACCATGTATTTAGATTTTTTATTTGTGGACCCGCTATCAAATTGGTTCATATTGAGGTCCAAAGGGTCCAAAATTAAACTTTGTTTGATTTCATCAAAAATTGAATTATTGGGGTTCTTTGATATGCCAAATCTAACCATGTATTTAGATTTTTAATTTTGGGTGCCGTTTTTAAATTGGTCTACATTAAGGTCCAAAGGGTCCAAAATTAAACTTAGTTTGATTTTAACAAAAATTGAATTCTTGGGGTTCTTTGATATGCTGAATCTAAACATGTGTTTAGATTTTTGATTATGGGCCCAGTTTTCAAGTTGGTCCAAGTTGGGGTCCAAAATAAAACTTTGTTTGATTTCAACAAAAATTGAATATATGGGGTTCTTTGATATGCTGAATCTAAACATGTATATAGATTTTAGATTTTTGGCCCAGTTTTCAAGTTGGTCCAAATTGGGGTCCAAAATTAAACTTTGTTTGATTTCAACAAAAATTGAATATATGGGGTTCTTTGATATGCTGAATCTTACCATGTATTTAGATTTTTTATGTGTGGGCCTGCTATCAAATTGGTTCATATTGAGGTCAAAAGGGTCCAAAATTAAACTTTGTTTGATTTCATCAAAAATTTAATTATTGGGGTTCTTTGATATGCCAAATCTAACCGTGTATTTAGATTTTTAATTTTGGGTCCCGTTTTTTAAATTGGTCTACATTAAGGTCCAAAGGGTCCAAAATTAAACTTAGTTTGATTTTAACAAAAATTGAATTTTTGGTGTTCTTTGATATGCTGAATCTTAACATGTGTTTAGATTTTTGATTATGGGACCAGTTTTCAAGTTAATCCAAGTTGGGGTCCAAAATTAAACTTTGTTTGATTTCAACAAAAATTGAATATATGGGGTTCTTTGATATGCTGAATCTAAACATGTATTTAGATTTTAGATTTTTGGCCCAGTTTTCAAGTTGGTCCAAATTGGGGTCCAAAATTAAACTTTGTTTGATTTCAACAAAAATTGAATATATGGGGTTCTTTGATATGCTGAATCTTACCATGTATTTAGATTTTTTATTTTGTGGGTCCGCTATCAAATTGGTTCATATTGAGGTCAAAAGGGTCCAAAATTAAACTTTGTTTGATTTCATCAAAAATTGAATTATTGGGGTTCTTTGATATGCCAAATCTAACCGTGTTTTTAGATTTT